CCTGCTGAACCTACCTTCTTTCCAGAGCTTAAATTGATGTAAATGCTTTGCTGCTAAGGATTTGTTCTGGTCACTTTCACTAAAATGTTGAGGTTTTTTTTTCTCCATGCCTTCTTATGCTGTATTTGCTTTTAAGTAATACAATATGGTAAGGACTTTGGAATAAATTATATCTCCAGACATACAATGTTAGGTGAATCGATAAATGTCCTATGACGTCTACTATGCATCATAAAATTTCTATCATAACCCTTTTAACAAAGCTTTTCTTCTTGGACACCAAGAATTTCATTCAAAGCATTTTACATATTGCATTACTTATCAAAACAGTGGATATGTAAACCTTGACATTTGTTAAAAGACCCAGGCTTTAACAAAAAAAAGACCAGAACAAATTGATAGCAGAAAACAGATTAAACCACCAAAAAGTGACTGCTAGGAAATAGAAGCATGTGACTTTACCCAAGACAAGCTTTCAGCACATACTGAAAATAGTTTTTTGCTATATGCAGGCATCTGAATGTCTCTCAGACTTTACTGGAGCTTCATATATTACGTTGTTACAAGTAAATGAATGCACAGTAAATAAGTGTTAGAGCCTGCCTTCCAAAGCCTGCTTTAGTGTAGCAGAAATTAAATTGCTTTTCTTGGCTAAGATTTGTTCCCACATCAGTTGGTATTAGAATGACCATGTACCCTGTTAAATTAGACTTAATATACTTGCCATTCTATTTAATTCTAGTACAAGTAATGGTAATAATAATAATAGTTGTTGTCAAAAATATCAGTACTGTATATAGTAAACCCGATGTAATTGTTCTAATTTACATTTAGTAAACATGTTCATTTACATTTAATATATTAATCTAATTCTGTTTAGTAGATACTAAATATAGTATCTTGAGATGCTGTGAATCTTTCTGCTGTTGCCTTTGGGCAAGGCCCACTACAAACACACTTAAGGAACATAACATGAACTGAAAGTATTGTGATTATGCTTACAATTATTCATAAATCACAAATGCACTCGTGCATACCAATGTGTGTATTTATGCCTATTCATGAAATATATGCCTCTTTACAGTAAAATATGATTATGTCATGTATGTCACCTTTATTTTACCAATTAAGCAATTATGATAGCAGTAATGTGATTCACTCACATGCTAGTATTCTCTTAATTAGCTCACAAACAAAACCATTCATTTGCAGGATACATTGCAGTTTATGGGAAAATGGAGATTTTGCAAATCCAAACATGCTATAAAACTGTTCACATCGTTAGTAATGCTGTAAGAGAAATATGTAAGGTCCCTCAATAAAACCCCCAATCAATAAATATAAGAGAAAAAATGTAATAAGGATTAATTTTTATATATTTTGAGGGTTTTCAGAAAGTTAGGTTTGTTTTCTGGTTTGTGACTTTTTTTTCTAACAAGACTGTTTTTAAGGACTATTTCTAGGTTCAGTCTATCAATTCAAAGTGCCACTGTCATCCCTTACCAGACTCTCTTGTCTTCTCTCATTCCCTTGATTTTGACAAAATTCTAACCATTTCCTAATGGAGGTGTCTTTATTGAATATTTCTGAAGAAAAAAAATTTGCCTGGTTGTAAATCAGAATCAGAAAATCTTTTGTAAACACAAGTATTGACAACAAAGTTACTGAATTTTTTTAGTTAATATGCAGTTGTTTTTTTTTTACTTCTTGCAAAATTCTACCTAGATGCTCATTTTACACTTAAGTGCAAAGCTGCTCTTACTTGAGCACTGTGAAATATTCATACCTAGATTTTCACTGGAATAGCAAAAAACATGAAGTAAAAGTAAGCGTAGTAATTTGTGAGCATATGTATGATCAATCAGGTAAGTCCCATATTTGCAACACATTCCATTCATTATTGGATTATCATTATTGGATTAGATATTAGGAAAATTTTTTTTCACCAAAGAGGTGGTCAAGCATTAGAACAGGCTGACCATATAAGTGGTGGAATCACCATCCCTAAAAATGTTCAGAAAACATGTGGATGTGATGCTTAGAGACATGATTTAGTGGTAGACTTGGCAGTGCTGGATTAATGGTTGGACTCTATTATTTAAGAGGTCCTTTCCAGCCTTCATGAATCTATGATTTCTATTCTTATGTTTTCATTAATTTTTCTGTTTGGTCTTGCATTAAACTCTAGGAGAAAGAACTGCAGCAAAACCCTTTCTCATATTTGACTAATACCTTCATTATAAATTAGGTAATTAGATTTCTTTGCTTTAGGACACAATTTTTCAATCATAAATAATGTTTAGCCACTAACAGTTACAATGACCACTAGTATAACATCTGAGAAGTAGCTGTGATCTGAATAGGAGTAAGCAAACTGCATTATGCTGGTGGGATTTATCTGTCCTTGAGAACTCTTCTTCAGGGAATAGGCTTTTGATATTCCATGCCAGCTCTGTCTTTTATCACTCCACCACTGATAAGTGGAACAGCAGCATTGATAATAGTACCCATCTCTTAGTACTTTTTAGCAGATATCAAAAGTGCTTTACCAGAAGTGCAAACATGATTATGGCCATTTCAAAGATGGAAAGATGGGACATACAAAGCGAATGATTTACAGTGATTTACAGCAAACCCCTCTGTAGATATTTCATTCCAAATTAGTTGATCTTTCTCTACAATGGCTTTCTTTTCTTTGGCTTAATAGTGCTGAGAACTGTCTAAAGGGTGGAAAGAAAGGATACAGAGTTAGTCTGTGCTTCAAGTCAGTTTGTCTAGGTTACAATTATATTATAAAGTTTAAAGCAGGTGCTACAAAGTCTAATCAGAGTAGGTTACAAAAAAAAAAAAAAAGACCCATGACTGTCAGACTTTGGGACAGCCTCTGACATGTTAAACCTGCACAGAGCAGGTCTTGTGGATTTTTTAATGGAACAATAATACATATTTCATACCCATGTAAGGACAATATATTCCTTACAATGGATTGTATGTAATTACAAGGGGAGAGATAAAAATCTTACGTGTACAGATTACTGAAATCCATCATAATCCAAAATACTATTTAGCAGTGCACATAGGTTCATAAACAAGTGAGGTTTTTAGTCCAGAAATAATCCAAATCAGGCAATTAGGATTAGGTCAACTGTCTTCCTATATTGACTCTATCACTACTAGATTAGTTTTCAAATTCATTATTGGTTATCTTTCTAGCATCGGTTTTTATTCTGTTTTTAAAATAATGTAATAAAATGTATTTTTTGTCAAAATATAGAAAAAAATCTGGTATGTCTTGTTTACCTACATTGTGGATACCTTGCTGAAGATGAGTGCACAGAAAAAGCATAAGCTAGCCCCAATTTTGTTTTCCAATTTAAGTGTGCAATAGCTATTTCCTTTTTATTTTAACAAAAACTTCCATTCTTAATTATTTTTCTTGTTTAACAATGTTTTCAATTTCATAAAATATTTTTTGAAATTCAAGGCATGCAATTAAAAAAATATTATTACTATGTTAGATTTATTTTTAAATTTCTCTAATTAACCACTTAATTTACTAATTTGAGGGTTTCAGTCTTCAATGAACATGTTATGATTCCCAGGCAAAATAATTAATGGAAAGTTTACTTCTTAATTAAATATTTTCTTTGCTCTTTAACAAAAGCCTTTCTGTACTAGAGAGATCTACTACCATTTGAGCTGTTAAATGAAATAATCCAAAGGGAAGGAAACTGGGAATGCTGTAAAGTCAAAATATCAGAATTTTAAATCTTCAGGAGATATATCTAGTGTGAATTATATATTTTAAGAAAAAACAATTGACTACATCTGTAGAGCCATAAGAAGATGAATGGAGATAATTTTAAAAATACTTGAAAGCTCTTGGTTCAAAAGAGAGAAGTGTTTATTAAGATACATTTGCAACAATTTAAGAATTCATAAGAAAGGGAACTGTAGGCTGGGAAAACTTCCTGACATTTAGATCTAGAAGGCTGCAGGAAAGCATCCATGAGAAAACAAAGAAACTCTTACTCTTTGAAATTTATAGCTATGTTTTATACAGCGGTACAGAGAAGGATGTTCTACTTTTTTGTCACTATGTATTGTGAGAAATTTATTTTTTCTATTGAGAAATACTAAAAAATTAAAATATCAAAAATACTGAAACTATATAGGTAGTAGTATTTTCCTTTGGTAAGTGGCAAAAAGTTGTTCATAAAATACGTATTTGATAAGCTAGCATGTTAATTTTGTACATACATATACTCACAGACATGAACTGCTGTATTGTGAACATCATTGTGAACTCTTGTGAAGTTTGGGTTGTATTTCACAGATTTTGTCACATGCCAAAGAAAGATATTATCATGTGTAAAATGTTTATTTATTTTAAATAAATATTATACCTTTAGTCATGCCTACTGGTTATTTTATTTGAATAATTTTCTGAAGAGTTTTTTAGAAACCACTGTCTAAATTACTCAAGCATCTGTATGCATGGCAATGAAAGTGATTGTTTCACATATTCCTATGTGTTCTTAAATTTTTCTGTGGCACCATCCAGCATTTAAGTATTCCTGAGCTCTGAACAAAAGAAATCTCTCTTTTATTTGGTCTATTATAACCAGAAAACTTGTTAATTAGATATATCTTCTGAACTAGTTTTTCATCCACTTGAAGGATGAGTTTCTGTGCAAAAGCATTGAGTATCTCTGTAAGTGTTTAAGTTCAAAATGGATAGATAATGACACTTCTAAAAATATGATACTTTTGTTTAGTAATTTTACTGTCTTTTTTGAATAAGGAGTTAATTTTTTAAAAGTACTACCTTGTGAAATTACTTGTATTACTTTTAAATGGTGGGTGATACTTAACTATAAAAATTGTGTGCTTTCTAATTAGACCTAGAAATATCATTGTCTTGAAAATAATATGGTACAGTGAAATTTAGGGAGTTTTGGTTGGTTGGTTTTTAATTTCATGTCTGTTTTGTTGTTTAGAAAAGAATATTTCTACTCCAGAAAAATCATGTTTTGGTCCATCTCATACAGAACGGATATCATTTCGAGACCATCCTGTGCAGCTAAGTGGAGGATGGGGAGCAGGCAAAAAAAGGCAAAAGTTTAAAAATATTAGCTGAATATTGGAAATAAGTAGTTGATTTAATCAAACACAGCCAGCATATGGAGATCTGTTTCTTTTTAAGCCTCTGAATATCAGTTGTTGGATTTTCATTTATTACCAATAAACCAGTTTCAGTTAACTACTTTTGACTTATTTTATTATACATGGTTACAGTGGTTGGGGTTTTGTGGGATTTTTTTGTCAAAGTATTTTAGACCTGTCAGTAAGTTATCAGAGTTTGTGTTTTCAATTGCTTATATGTTCATGTGGTATAGAATGCAGAACTGATTAACTCTAGAAAGTTTGTTGTACAGTGACTAAGTTTAGGCTTGCTTATAAGAACTGGATGAGAAGTCCGAATGTAACAAGGGTTCATGTTCATGTGATGTATATCACATATTGAAACACTGAATTCTCATTTTCTCACAAAATAAAATGCAAGCTTGCAAAGTGTGTTGTGAGGTATAACAGCCAGCAATGCCATTCTTAGAGAAGTCTGTTCAGAATATTTTACTGAACCAATATACCAATGATGAGCATGCACTTTCCTTTTATTAGGAAGATGAGTAGTCCTCTAGATCTTTCATCATAAATTATTATTATAATATGTTAAAGCAACCTGTTATGGTTTTATACTTTCAAATACTTCTGATTCCTAGAGGATTTTTTAAAAAATAAAGGTCCTCATCTTGTTCTTGGATACTGTAAAATTAGATCTGTATGTTACTGTTAACCCAACCTAATTTTTTCACATAGACAGGCTCCTTCAGACCCATGTGTAAATGTTTTGTGGTGCAAGGAAATCAAGAGAAAAAGAAATGCTGTTTCTACTGTTCATGAGTATCTTACTCATTATTTCTAGTCAATGCTTTGTCCATCAGCATACAGGACAGAAAATGTTCCTTGATTTCAAAGCCTAACATTACTTTAATAATTTCCACTTTGAGGGTATAATTTGCTAACTGGATCTTTAAAAAGGCTGTCTTTGGTATTTCCTTGCCTGTTTTTATAAGCCACAACCCCCTGTAGATGGAGAAAGAGCTGGAGAGGGTAATGGGGCTTGAAACTTCAGTCAGTAAAGAACATGAATTCTTGCATTGTGGCTGTTTTTAAAATATACTTAAATTAACATATGATGTTATTTTGTAAAGTGATTTTTGTGCTGACATACCTATCTAACTATGGGTTAAAAGCATTTCTCTCCATTTTTGTGAATACTTGCATTCATTTTCAGATAAAAAGATGGCTGATCTCTTGGAAAACCTCCAGTAATAATTTTGCTTGTTTGAACCACTGTCCTGTTTTTATTATCACTTTGCTTTTGAAAAATCAGTGCACAGACACTATTTCAGAAAAGATTTCTTTGCCTTTCTGGGGAATTATGGTCAGGTTGCTTAACCTGACTATAGAAATACGGTGGTTGTCAACAGAGTGTAAAATGTGAGTAGATGTTTATCTTACCTGGTTAGTTTCCAAATGTATGAAGTTAGTGTTCAGCTTGATTTCAGGATCTGCAATATAATGACTTTTAAATGTCACCAACAAATACTGGAGCTTTTCTGATTTTGCTTTTAACATCAAGGTTATAAGTTTTGTAGGAAAAACTTTGTTATTTCAAAATGTCTGCCACTACACCTGGCAGTGTGTGTAGCCACTGTTACAGGTGTTAACTGGAAATCGAAATACAAAATCAAGAGGTTCATAGCTTAACACCTCTTGCAGATTGTCCCCTCTATTTGTCTAGAGTATCCATAATATAGTGCACATCACCAAAGCTGTAAATAAGGGATATATTAGATTTTATGCTTCTTTCTATATCTGTATCATCTGTATCTACATCTATATATAAAAAAAAATCTGCTTTATAAAAATTATCATGCCTAATTAATCTCTTTGTTTTCAGGGTGTTTCTGAATGAGAAATACCTCCCAGCCTAAATAAAATGTTTTGGCAACATTTTTAAGGCCTTTTATTTTGCAAAGACAAATGGTAGCTTTTTAATATACAGTTTAATAAATTATAAATTGGAGTGACAATATTCACTGACAAACCTTTTAGGTTCATAATACACTTAGTCTGCATAAGTTAAGCAATATACGCAACAGAAATTAAGGTATAAAGTATGCCAAAACTTGTTGCTGTTTTCATTACATAATATTGCAATGCATAATAATGATGTGTCTTATTGTATCCAACACATTTTTCTCAGAATTGCAGTGTTCAAAGTGGAGTATGTCTGACCAAACACAAAAAAACCTGCAAGGTGCAACTTCTGTTCAAGCTAGCAGAAAGACCTTTATTGCATTCAGGGATAAGGTGAAGCAACCCACATGCCTTGGTGTTCATCATCACATCTTAGGGTATGTAAGGTCAGAGGTAACACAGATGATACACGTGGTGGATATTTATGACACAAATTTTTCAAGCCCTACTCTGCAAGCAGTTTTGTGGGGGTTTTTGTGTCTTTTGGGGATTTTCTTTTAGTTCTCTCTTTTCATTTTAGGCTTTTTTTTCTTTTTCCCCCCCACCACTTTTCTTTGTCTCCCCCACACCTACCCCCTGATGCTGTAATTCCCATTTAGGACAAGATCAGATTCTTAAAAGTAAGTTTCTCTGTCTATCTGTTCTGATGTTGAAGTGGCTATGAGTCAGTAACAGTCCAGCAAAATTTACATCACAGAACCCTGAAACTGCATTCCTGCATGCGCTCCTGCCTTTGCGGTGCTTCAGAGTTCTTCAAGGCTAGCTAGCATCATCTCCTCCACCCTTTTTTCTCTTCCCTGAAGATCCTTTAACATGAAGGAGGAGGGACTTCGTATGAATGAGCTCTTTTTAAAAATTTGCCTTGTACGTATGAAGCTTGAGACTCGGGAATGTAGAAAAGCACTCATTTGAAAAAAAGAAGAAAACAACAAGGTGCATTTCCGTGTTGAACCGTTGATGGGTGTTACTCGCCAAAGCAAAGTGAAGAGCTTTCTACGAGCTCTCCTGAACACATCCCTGAACTGTCTTTTCCTGTGCAACTTACATGAAGGTGTGCTCAGGAGTTCTCTAAATCCTCTGTTGTTTCAATCGAGGCATCTGGAAAAACACCTGCAGCAACAGGAAAGAAAAAAAAAGAAAAAAAACCAACAACAACAAAAAAAACCACAACTCCCCAAAAGGCACAGTCTGCATGTTAACGAGGTGCTAATGTCAGATCACCCACACCTGAATGACAAAAGCCTGTGAAGAATGTTTCTCGCTGAATAAAGGGCAGGTTTACCTACTTCAGACGCAGTACCCGTGCTGACCCAAAAGAGAATTGCTCAAAGGCATTTCGTATTTGAACAGATATACAAATAGCCAATGTGTAGCACTGACATTGTTTTGGTGCAGGCTGTTAGTGTTACATTTTGACTGAGTAAATCGCTATCTTTAATTATTAATAATCCTATTATCCGCACATGCATTCATTAAAGGTGTGTCCACTGTACAGTGTTTGCATTTTTAAAAACTTTGCCACAGGTGGCATCCAAATCTGGCCTGAGACACGTGACTGCAAAACTGTCTCTTGGTCTTTCATTACAATAGTTAAAAGTACTACGAGGAATATATTGGATTAATATCTCTTTGATTTTCATTTCGGATTCTCATAACAGCGATATATGTTTACGAAGGCACAGTCTTTCCTTGATACATATTAAAATTCCTTCTATTAGCATCCATGGAAGCCAGACTAATATTGTGGGATACTGTGCAATCTTAATTGTCAGAAAAACACATATGAAAAGTAGCTATTACCACATGGCCCCAAAAAAGCAGGAATAGAACTCTTAATTATATTACAAAATATTGAATTGCCTGATGTTACATCTGAGTTCCAAGCACTTTGTACTTAGCTATATTAGCTGGATAAAAAAAAAGCAACTCCCAGCAACTTGGGGTTTTAATGTTTTGTTTATTTTTTTTCCACAGTCATAACTGAAAAATTAACTATTTTTTTATAGCAGTTGTGAAATAGTTGCATTTGAATGTTAATCTGTGTCAGTCACTGCTGTTTTAGAGCCTGTGTGAGAAATATATATATGCATTCATATACACTTTCATACATAGTTTTGCACATACTTTCATATATCTATATAGATATGAGATTGGGATGTCAACTGGTCACAGATGCAGGAATGGGATGCCTCTCTTCTCACACAAAGTCAGAAAAATATGCCAAGTCTGGGGAAGGAGGCAGGTATGGCCTGCAAGTAGCAGTATACATAAGGCAGGGTTGGGTCTTGGGGACAACTGGTCTCCTGGTTTTCAAGGTAGACGATGAGGAAATGTTGACCACATGCCCATGGCTACATCCTGAAGGCACTTTCTGGTGCCAAGTTGTGCTGAACTTTGGTTAGCAATAAAATAGCTGTTGGAGAGATGTTCATGAAGTTCCATGACGCCAAATGAACAGAGATCTGAAGAGATTTTTACTGGAAATATTGACTAACTTCGCCAGGCTGACCATCCTTACAAGGACTGGAAGTTGAAATTCATGACACTATGAGCTACACTGTTATTTACAGGTCATTTAGACAAGTGGATTGTCCTTTATGGTCACTTTCTCCGTTATTTTGGTGACAGATGCTGACACCACAGGTTAGTACCTAACTAGCTGTCAAAGACTAGCATTTGTTCCTCCCCTGGTCTTCATACCAATGTTAAATAGATTTGTTTGGAGTTAGTAACCTTTTCTTAATTTCATAGTTGATTGATTGCTACTTATATAGCGTGCTTTTTTTCCCCGTTCAACATTAAATAAGCCAAATACCTAGGAAGATATAAAATTACATCTGACTGAAATGCAATTGATAGCTCTTTAGCAATAAAGCAGGTAAGAGCATTTTATGTGGGTAACAACAAATGCCGATTTCACCAAGTTAAGAAGTGATAATAAACACGTTTGTTAATAGCTAAGGGTCGGATTTTCTTTATTCCAAACTTACTCATTTGTTAAATTACACTTGTACAAAGGAACAGGAAGTTAGCAATTTTTTTTTTTTTTATGAGGCACTACTTCAATCCTGAATGCAAGTAAGCATTACCAAATAGCTGAGCCACAGCCAAGGTGTTCCACATACATCCTGAGATGGAAGACAGCTTTTCAGGAGAGAATGCTACAACTAGTTAAATTCTGATACCGGATAAATGCCTGCTTCATATCGGCACAATTTTCTGAGCTTGTGAGCAGTAATCTGAAAAAAGAAAGTACACAAATAAAATGGGCTGTATATTCCTGCTACATTCCA